TCAATATGTATCAAAATCCATTAGTGAAAAAATTTTTTTTTGGTCTTGTCAGAATTCCTATCAACCTACAGAAGTTTGATATCACAGGGCGTGAAATTAACTTTTTTTTCTGATAGCCACTTGGCTCCTAAATTCTTCAAAGTGGTAGCCAATTAAAAAAAAGTTGGTCGCCATTTTCAAAGACAAACAAAATCTTTCTTTACGCTGTCAGCGTTCTAGATAGACCCTCCAAAATTAAGTTAGGGAAAAGATCTTTAACGTGCTACAAAGTGGACACTAGGATGGATGATATACAACGTTCAGGCTCATCTAAATCCAAGATGGCGTCTAGTTGTCGATCGAGAAGCACGTGCTACGTTTTGGAAACAAACTTAATGAGGAAGTTTGCCGCAGATTTATCTTTGCAAATCTTTTTAATTCACTATATCTCTTGGTAAGGTTATGATGAAACGTTCTAGTCGCCAATTTGGCGACTAACTTTCAGGATTAGGTCGCCAAAGTGAAAAATTTAGTCGCATTGGCGCCTGTATTAGGCGCAATTCCACGCCCTGTATCACTTAAACTTCAAGTAAATTTTGATCCATAACACACACTGAGGAAAAATAACTGCAGTAAAGATTTCAACAGGAAACCACAGGGCAAAAATCATTATTTGTATAATCATGCAAAACCCATGGAAATTAAACTTTGAACTGTTAAAACAAACATCAAAGTCAATTAGTGAAAGATTTTTTTTCTCTTGTCATGAGCATGGCACTAAAAAAAATTTAGAATCCTTGTGAGGAATAGAATCTCAGACCTTCAGATTCACCACTTTGATGATCTACTACTGAGTCACAGAGACTTTGCTGTGAGCTCAATTGTTACAAGGTCCACATGTGAGATGCATCCTGCAAAGTAGGACTGGTAATGTTGAAAGCATTTCTAAAGGCAAATCAAAGTCTATTGTTCTCACCTCATGCATTTGACTGATTCTTCCAGTATAAAACAAAAGTCTCTCTGTGAGTGTGGTTTTTCCAGAGTCAATATGGGCAGATATACCAATATTTCTGATTTTTGACACATCCTTCTGTCAAAAAAAGGAGACAATGTTACATGTATGCCCAATGTACACAGCCATGCCCAATTCACAAATTTAAAGTGGTTTAGCATGATCTGTAGTCTTATCGACAATGATATTCATTATCACAGAGGTCAAAATTTGCTACAGACTCATGTGGCCCAGCCAGGTGAATCAGCAAAAACTTTTGAGCAATGTGATGATGAACATCATTGTATAGAGACCATGCTAAACCCCTGTCAATTCCTTTTTTACCACAATAATGATGTCAAACAAAATGATTCTTTCAGTGATAAAGGCATTGCATGACCAGTTGATGCAAGCAGCGCTGCTCGTGCTCTTATCAACAACAGCAAATTGGCCAATCAAATTGCAACATTACTGCTCATCCTAGAAAAGAAATGTTTCGAAAATACGCATGGCATCCAGTAATAAAAAATTCCCCAATTTCAAGGGCCTGTATTCATGAATGAACACTGAGGAAAAAATTTAAGTTTTTGCTAATTAATGTTAGTAGTAGCTGGAAATAGGGTAAAGTAACAGGAGAATATCATTAATTGGGAATAAAAGATAAGGCTGTGTTTAAATGCTAGGTAGCCAAATATTTTCACAGAATTTCTACTGAAAGATTATTCTTTAGAGTATCAAATATTAGTTTAGAAATATTAATTAAGTAATTCCAAAAATTATTTTGGCTTTTTACTATAGAGCACAAATTATCAGAGCAGATGCATACTATAAAATTGCAAGGTTTTCAACAACTCTAAAACATTTCTCACCTAGCGATTTCATAGGATCTAAGTAAATGCTTAGAAAATTTGTTCTCTAAAACACCACAATAATTTTTGGAGTAGCTTGGCATTCCTAAACAATCAGTAGGTTTGCAAGAGAAATTTGGGGGAAAATCAACATTACTTTAGTAATAAGAACTTGGTGTTTGATCAAGATACCAGATAAGTTTGAGTATTCTCATTAACTGTTTGCTGGATAATGCATGGATATTATTGGGAGAAGTGACATGTTAATCACTTCTGGGAGTCAGAGGGTTAATGAACAGCCTGTGAAAGTTACCACTGACTGTTGAACTCAAAGGAACATTTTCACCGACAGTTTTGAAAGACTGTTCCTTGTAATACAATAAATAAAATATATACATTTTTAACCCCGGTGAAAATGTAGTCAAAAACTGTCAATCTCCTTGAGAAAGTTGAACACTCACCGTCGCTTCAGAGGCAAAAAACCGAGCCTTCACCTACGAAAAAAAAGCATTCGTTCGTAAGATTCAGGATTAATTACTAACCAAAGGAAACAAATACGAGCCACTTGTACTCCCTAATATCATATTGAACTCAATCTGGATTCATTATTTCCCATATTAATCAAAATACGAAAATAATCAGTTTAAAATCATATTACTGTTTTGATTTTTGATTCTCTCGTTCTATAACTTCTATAACTTTCTGATACGATAGTCCTAACTGTTTGAGAAAGATGTACGATTATGTAAGCTTTTCACTTCTTCGTGATTGAGGATTCTCGTTTAGTAAAAATTAACAAAAACTTAAATTACGGTCTAAACATCAAGGTTGCAAATCTTACATTACGAGAAAGAAGACGAAGTCCAGATCGCTGGATCAACAGTGTCGCTAAACCCATTTTTCGAGCTAAAACATCATAGTCCGTATATCTCAGGAAATCTTTCAAAGTAATTTCTACCAGGCGCACGTGAAAGGAGTTTGCGCATGACCAGATAATGACTACTGCTGTTGACCAGTTTCGTGGAAAAAAGAGGAAGCCGGTTCCAAACACATACCACGTGCCATATCAAAATGTACATTTTAAAATTTATTAGAAACTTCAATTTTATATTCATAAGTGTTCCCAAGAGTAACCCTCCGTTCATTGGCGTTATGATACAACTTCTATGATACGATTTTTAAGATGCGACTTTACGCGCCGCCATTTTTAAAAACAGCTGAGTAACCAGGCCCAATACCCGCAGAGTGCGCGGTTCAATTTGGTTCTTGTAAAAAACAGAAAACCATAATTTGAATCAAGAATAGTTTTACTTGTGACTCCGTCTCCTACGTGTAAATACAGATCACCAAAAGATAGATCAAAGTGACACTATGATGAACTCGTGGATATACTGCACAGAATACATGGTACCGGATTTAACTAAAAGCCAATGACCCTGAAATTTCAAGAAATATAATTGAACAGTTATTCCCACAAGAGTCGCAACAAATTCATCAGCCATATTCAATTTAATAAATCGACACTCTTGGTCTGTACTCTTATCTACAACGATATTCATCATCACAGTGGTCAAAATCTTGTGGACTTACTTGGCTGCGCCTCGTGAGTTCGCAACAAAGTTTGAGCAAAGTGATAACAAGATCTAACAAATATCGTTGTCGATTAGAGGACTGACCACGCCAAACCACTTTCGACATATTTGTTACCACAATATTGACGTTGAATAAAACGATTCTTCCAGTGCGTGACTAGAGTTCGTGACTGTGCTCTTATCGACAACGGCATTCCTGCAAGTTGCGGTAAAATTTATTATAGGACCCGTCCGGCCCTACGTGCGTAATCGTAAGGCCGAAAAACCATGGAGAAAGACGACGTGAAAAAGCGGTCCGGCCCTTGTGTACTTGTACGACTTGATTGCAAATTAAGGGAACGAAACATTGTTCGCTGTTGTTGCGAAAAAATGAGTGGCAACAGTAGACAAAAATGAGTGATAAGTCACGTCTTCCGATAAATTGTGAGTTTCTTGCTCAACCTGTGTTAAACGGTAACCCCAATTGAGGTCTCTACAAGTAATTCGTCTGGAACTTAACCTAACAAAGCTGGACAACTTAAACGAGGATGACTCATTTTTATAATGACTGATACAGTGTAATGGCGGACAGTTAAAACGAAAATTTGTTACTTACTGAAAATAAGAAAAGAAAACTGTCTTTTCTTTGCAGTACTCAGGGGGGCGTAATTTCATCAAAATGAAATCATAATCAGGTGAACGGGAAGATATTTTCCTCTTTGTCCTTACCTCGAGAAGCTTCAACTAAACGTTCCTATAAGATAGATTCCTTTGACGCATGGTAACCTCACAGAAGATTACCCTCCCAACCCTTTCCCGACCCCAAGTCTTACTTGTTACAACTCTTGAGTAGTCTACACCCACAAACCAAGTACAGTAAACAATGTCGCCAGTAAAAAAAAACCTTTATTACAAAATCTTTGCGGTTTTATTTACATTGAGCATAGCATGTCACTCCAATGATTAAAAGTACTTTGCCTACCTGGTATCTTTGACCCAAATTAAGATTTCACTTGGAACTACTGATTTCGTTTAAATATAAAAATCTACTAAAAATTAATGAAACTATTAAAGTTAATGAAACTAATGAAAAGACAGCTTTAAAGCTGGTCGGTGTCTCCGAATTATAGCTTCAAGACTAGCTGCCATCTCATCATCATAAACTGACAGAGGAAGTTCTAGTGTGGTTAGCTTACAGCTCGGATGCTGTAAAGCTTCACATAGACTGGCAACACCGATATCAGTGATGTCAGTATCCTCCAGATCTAGTGTGGTTAGCTTACAGCTCGGATGCTGCAAAGCTTCACATAGACTGGCAACACCGATATTAGTGATCTCACAATGTTGCATACGTAGAGTGGTTAGCGTACAGTTTAGATGCTGTAAAGCTTTACATAGACAGGCAACACTGGTATCAGTGATCAAATTACAGAGCATACTTAATGCGGTTAGCTTGCAGCTTGAATGCTGTAAAGCTTCACATAAACTGGGAACACAGGTATCACTGATCCCTCTAAACGAAATACATAGAGTGGTTAGCTTACAGTTTGGATGCTGTAAAGCTTCAGAGAGACTGGCAATACCGGTATCAGTGATGTTATTACCCTCAAGATATAGTGTGGTTAGCTTACAGCTTGGATGCTGTAAAGTTCCACATAGACTGACAACACCGGTGTCAGTGATCTCACTAAACCCCAGGTTTAGTGTGGTTAGCTTACAGCTTGGATGCTGTAAAGCTTCACCTATACTGGCAACACCGGTATCATTGATCCCACTAGAATCCAGATTTAGTGTGGTTAGCTCACAGCTTGGATGCTGTAAAGCTTCACATAGCCTGGCAACACCGGTATCGGTGATCTTAATATCATTCAGACTTAGTGTGGTTAACTTCCTTACCAATAATCGATTAATAAAATCAACATGTTCAACACTCCAGTTAATGTAAGATAATATAAGTTCAGACACAAGACAGTGTTCATTTATCAGTGAATTAAAGACTCGTTGTATTCCAGACAGTGTTAGATGTGGTCCGGAAAGTCCTAACCTCTCAACTGTGACAAACTTATCGGTATACTTGTGTTGTGCCTCTCCAGCTTCCTCTTCATTTAGTTCACTGATAATGTCCAATACAAATGATACCGTAATGCAGTCTACATCTGAGTAACAACCTAAATCCATGACACCGTGTGAATTACAAAACGCTTGGGGATTCTCCCTCAAGAACTGTTTAGCGAATTCTTTGTTTCGATACTCATTAAGACACCTCATTCTAAGATAAGGAGGCATAAAGGGTGAATCTATCAATTTTTCCATCATTTCCTCGTTTGCGTCACGTGAGAAAAGGCCAGCCATGAATTGGTAAACCATATCAGAGCATTTCGCATCGGGAACACGATTTTCCCTTACAAACCAACGAGCGGCCAAGAATTCTTGGACGGTCAGATGTGTGAAGCTAAAGTGCTTCGTGGTTGTAATCAATTCGGTTCTGAAAGGCTGACCACAGTAAAGAAGACCGCTACCTTTCAGTTTGTTGACTTCTTCCAGTTCAAAATCGCGCTCCATCTCGCTTTCATCAAAAGTTGGCTTTCTTTCAACCAGCAGTTTAGCCGCTAATTTTGATAATTTCTCCAAAGTGTTCTTGATGACAGGAGGGGGCTTGAACTTCTCAGGAATTTCTTTTTGTCTGTATTCTGACTCGGCGCAGTGCTTGAGTTCAAAAATATCAACAAGTTTGGTATAAATGTCGGTTATTGAGACAGGAAGGTCATCAGAATTTTCTGATTCGGTTAGGGCATACTCCATCTCGAAGCACAACAGATAACAGAGCATAGGAATATGAGCAAAACTGACAAGATTCTCATTGTTCATGACATGTTTAAGTACAGCGTTCTTCATATTTTCGTTTTTCTTGAAGTATTTCTTTATGTACTCTTTGACTTGTTCTGCCGAAAAACCAGCAATTTCCACATACCGTTTATAACGGATTCCTCCCATCTTGTCCGATTCATCAGGTCGCGAGGTAATCATGACGATAGCCCCTTGCAGGATTTTTCCATTGATGAGTTTAGAACACAGTGCGGCCACCGGCATTTTACGTCTAACGTCATTGGGATGCCGTCCTTCTGAGTTTCCATCGATACTGGTTTTCTGAGAATACTCATCATAGCCGTCGAGAATTATCATTACTTCCTTGGAATGCTTTACAATGTACTCAAATGTTGATTCGTTAATGTTACATTTGTCATTCAGTACCGAGGAAAAATTTAAGATTTCTCTTAAAGTCAAATGCTTATTCTTGAGCAAATTCAACTGACGGAAAGTAAGCAAATACACAAATTTTAAATTGGGGATTTCAGTGCTTTCTAGTGCTCGAAGTAATTTGTTGTTAGCCCAATCGCGAATCACCTTTTGGCAAAACAGGGATTTCCCAATCCCTGCTTTTCCAACGACAAGAATAGAATTAGCACTTTCCTGATCATCAATCATGCCAAGAAATATTTCACTGCAGTGCTTGACTGGAGTACCACTAATTTTCCCGTAGTACTCAAGCTCTTTACTCCTTGAATAATATGTCTCGTCATTCCTAATCAGGGCTTTTCTTCCATGTTGTATGAGAAGATTAGTGAATATTTCGTCCGTTTTCGCGTTGGAAATCGTGCGAGAGGCAAGCAGTTTGGGTTGGAACTCCGTATGGTACATAATTGAAGACTTTAAAGCTGAAGTGTAGGTACTTACGGCTGAAATATAAAAAAGGAACATACTTAATAAATAATATGAACACGAGGATAGCAGTTTAAGTACTATCACTCTTGCTCCACGGGGTTTAACTGTTTTGAGGGCAGGTCAATCAACACACAAGCGCTTAAGACAAAGATTTTAGGCTATATTGGTATTACTCTTATTGATGAAAAAAGTATAACAAACTAAAGGCACATTAATACCACACATAGTTCTAACCCTAAGAAGCTTAGTCTTGAATGTAAATTTCAAAGTCTAGTGTCTGACAGAGAAACAATTCCAGTATTGGATATCAGAGCCCCAACTCACGGACCCTATAATGGTTAAAAATCGGTGGTGGCGTCAGATCCACTTGTCTGACACCCAAATTCTTGAAACAACAGGATCACATATCACCATCCAATATGGAGCAACTAACAATTACCGTTCCAGATATAGGTCTTGGCCTACTGTGGTTTCAGAAAAAACACAAAATTTCTGTGTTTTCTGAACAAAAATTGTGACCCCCTTCTATATAAAAATCCTGGATCCACCCTTCAAAATCGTCTTTACTTGTCAACATTTAATAACAGTAGTTCAAATAGTCGTAAATAAGTTCACTGTTTATCGTTACCATTCACATGTTCACTATTATTACATTTATTATTTCACTATTAAGTATTACACTCATCAAAACATGTAGGACTCACCTTGAGAAGGCAATTCATTGGCACCTAAATTAAATAATAAACAAAAAGAAGTGTTGTCTCTTTAAACCAATTTACTTAAGAAATTTACTTACAATCTGATTCATTCGTCTCAACTAATATTATGTCAGGTTCCAAAAATGGGTAAAAAACAACAACAACAACAGAAAAAAAAACTGTAAATACATGTATATGTGCTGGCAGTTATCACTTCCCTGTGCATTCAATTAAGTATCAACATCAAAATACAGTTGCACATGCAGTACTGGATAATTCTCTGTTCTTAGTTTAAAACAATTTGATGTGTTGCTTAATTTGCCCAGGAACATATATCAAATCACTTCAAATCACTAAATGGCAGATGTCATTGGCCTCCGAATTTTCCATTTTCTGGTTGTGTTACATAAACCAAGCTAACTATAGAAAACAGGCATATTCACCTGGCTCATGAAGTGAATTGTCATTCATCAGCATCACTTGATTTAACTACAAGTTTTTTCTGCCACCACCTTAAGAGGCCTTGTTAAACTTACTAATACATAAACTTAAAATAAGGGTAACTTAATTTTCTATTTGTGAACTGTTACTGAATAAATGATCTTGATTTGTAATCCATACAAGAATATGCTATGGGAACTTAGATCTAAGTCAGACCTATCCTTGTAAAAAGACAAGATTGAGACAGGAAGCAATACCTGCATTAAAGTGAGGCCAATCTTGGAATATGACTGGATCATTCAAAATGTTGGCCACAACAGATGCTGCCATCACACAGGCAATTTGTTTCCATTTCTTACTTGAAGACTGCATTTCATCTACAAAGTCTTTGATGCCCTTGACTACCACCCATTCTGTCTTAAAATCATGGGCTGCAGCATACACTCCTTAAACAAAAAAAAACACTCATGTCTGTTAACTATATTGCTAATTTTGGTAGAATCCTTAAAATAATTGTTTGATGAAAGCTTAAAAAGATTCACACTCTAGCTGTTTGTAAAAATGCACATCCCAGAAAGACATTAGTTAGTAACAAAATCTAATTTTTTTCAACCAGTACTTTAAAAAAAATTGTACACCTTGTTTCATAAGTAACTTTCAACATTTCTCAAAAGACAAACTTTTGTCAGCTAGAGTCAACCCTTTCACTCCTAAGATCTCTTTGGTAATTCTCTTTAGTGTCTGTCGTACAATTCCTATGATGTTACAGGTGGTGTAGATGGGAGAATTTGGTTTTGGATCACCCAATAATTTCCTAATTGACATTTTCTTTTTCTTTTCCCATTAATTACAGTAATATAGTTGTATCTACTTGATATCATATTGATACTGTAAGGAGAAATTCTGTCTTGGTCACTCATGGGAGTTTCAGGGTTAACAGGGACTGATAGTTATTCCTCAACTCTCAAACTATTCAACAAAATACTTTCTACATTTTTCAGATGACAAATTTAAGACAATTCATGACATCCTGATGGAGCACATTCAATTTAGAAGACAGAAGAAGTCTCAGTCACCTCCACCTGCTAAACAATCTTCAACCCCAGTCAAACACAAAATTACTATTATTATGCAAGATATAATTTCCACAAATTTCGCATGCTATAATTATGGTATATGCTATTTCTTGGACCAGCAGAGACAATACCAGGGCAGTCTTTTTCAAAACTCTTGCTTCAAATGCTAAAGTCCTTGGCTCATCAATTATTTGAATTATTATGATTCTCACCTCCACCTTCCATTTCAACTGCAATTGCCTCAGGGTGTTTCCTAATCATATCTCTGTTTGCCTCCAAGATACTCAGAACCACTCCATCACAGTGCACTTTGGCATTATATTCATCAGCATTTTGTAAAGGTGCCTTCCACCCATCAGCCACATGTTTGATCAGCTTACCAATATCTCTACTAGGGGGAGTTTTGTGTGCAGCTGTTATCAGCTTTGCTGAAACAACCACATCTCCTAACTTGACCTTTTTGCTTTTCAAACCACTGCAGGCACCAACAGAAAAAATAGCCTTGGGTCTCAGTAGCAAGATGGCATCTTTTGAAACAGACAAAGAACCCCCAGGAACACCAGGACCTTTGCAGCACCTCATCAATGCAATTTTCATTTTCTTTCCTTGATCATCACCCATGCACCCAAAGTACACAGGGCCAGTACTGATGTGGTAACTCTTAAAGGGTTCCCTCAGGTAGGCAAAGCAACTTAAGAACTCACAGTCCTCCACTGTTAATAAAAGAATATCAACAGGAAGTTCAACATTGTTCCAAGTAAAAGAGGTTTCAGGAAGATCACTCATCAATGGAAGTGTAACATTGAGCTCTGGTGGGCTTGCATTCTGTGCTGATGTAGTTTCCCTTGGCATCATTGCTGTCTCTAAAAAAGAAGAATGTAGTATTTCTTTTTTTTTTTTTGTTTCCATTCATTTATTAGAAGTTATTAGCAGATCCGAAACAAAAATCAAAAGACAATGAAGAAAAAGAAAAGAAAACCAGTTATGAATAACAATTAAGTCAATGCATCCTTGACCCTGCATAAAACATTTCAAGTCCACACTAACTGATTAAACAGTACAAAATTACACACTGTCAGACATACTTGAAGAAAAAAAAACACCTCTGAGTGCTACCCTTTTTTCTCTGAGTTTGCATGGTTGTGTCATTCACTGAGTTACATCTTTCACTCAAATAATCAGGCTTTAAATCTATCACCTTCGGCACAGAATTATATTTTGACGACATGTATGAATTTTTTTGTAAACTTTGTTCATAACATCAAGAAAAAAAACACAAAACTTTACTTACATATACAGTATACCAATTTCCACACAGAAATTTTGGAGGTAATTTCTTTTATTTCATGACCCACTATATCTAACATTAATCACACAAAAGAGACAATTAAGTTAAAACTTAAAATTAACAAAAGTAAATCACACAAACCTTCCTTTCCTAAATTTTGTTCATATGTCTCAATGGAACCCTCCAGGTCATCTTCCTTCCTGGCCTTTTTTACCATTTCATCTTCATGTGATTTATCTGTGACACAGTCTTCATCCTTCAACCACTCTCTGAAAAGCTCCTGGTAGTCTTTCTCAATATCAGCATCCATGCAATCAGTTTTAAGATCATTGATAACATCCTGATAGCGGGCCCCTCCAATACGCTGAAAGGTGTCTTTGATGTCATTCCAGTAGGAACTGAAAGTTGGATCATCAACTGAACCACTGGTAACATGACTGTAAACTCTGTCTCTGAGGATCTTGATGCGAGAGATGTCAGCTGCTGGAGTGGTGTCTGTTACCAAAGGAAGGTCATCTTGGCCAGAGGCAGGGAGAGTTAGACCAAAGATATTCCTCAGAAGTAATAGCAGCAGGGAGCTGTCAAAGTTCCCTGAGGAAATTGACCATTTGACAGCAGGATACAATTTGCGCCACTGGGAGGTACACAGGACTCTCTTCTTTCGAAGTGTTTGTAATTTGGCACAGTTTGTGGGATTTGTCAGAACTGTGTGAAGTTTTTCTGGTGGACATACCCTGTCAAAGATCTCCTTTAACACATGTGATCCAACTTCAACAAGAAGGCGACACAGCTGAGCATAGTTGGAGGTTCCTTTGGTAGAAGGATTCGATGGAGTGGCAAAGGCCATGAGGACATGTCTTCTGAAAAGAAATATACACACAAAAATCATTATTTGAACTTCCCAGAGCCAAAATGTCATTCCACATACTTAACATTAAATTTATTATCACCTGACAAATTTATACAACAAGTGTGATGTGTCTTCCTTTTTAACCCTTCAACCCCTAAGAGTGATTGGCTTCTAATTTCTCCTCACAGTATCACTCATGAATCAAATGTAGAGGTCACAAGAATAAAGGAAATGATCACCAATTTAAGAAGTTCCTGATTGTCAAACAAATTCTCCTTGTCTGTTCCATAGGAAATGTAAAGAGAACAGTGTGGAGAATATGAATACCAATGTCTTAGGGTGTTAAGGGTTAAAAAGGCAGATGGGGCAGGGGGAACACACACAATTCTGTGCATAAAACCCTCACAGTAATGTACAAATCTCAAGAAAATGTACTGTTCTTCTAAAGACTCATTACATCTGTTTAGATTTTCCACACAAAAAACATGATACTGTTCATTTCAATTAGAATCTTTTTATCCATTTAAGATTATTTCTAATCCAAAAAAGTCTCTTGAGTGATCAAACTTATAAAACAGCTTTCATTTGTCAAAACAACAAAAAGGGATTCTCTCTGGCTCCAAGCCATATATACATGTCAACCACATATTTACCATGCAATTTGCAATACTTAATTCCAAGCAATTTTGGTTTTGTATTTACTGTTCTGTGAAGAGAAATAAATTACCATGGCCATGATGAAAAGAAGTTTCCATGTTTTTCCCCACAAGATTTTCCTCTAACATCCCTCAAAATTTCAGAAAAGTTTTGAAGCACCCTGTGAGATCAGTTACTGTTCTTGGTAGCAAAAAAAGAGTCTGTACTCAAGCCTATTGGCCCCCTGTAGAAGGAGCTTGTCTTGGTTTCCTTAGCATAAAGCTAATACAATAATAACAACTCCCCCCTGGATGGGATGCCAGTCCATCACAAGGTCCCCCCCCCCAACCAGCATTTCATCAGGCTTCCCTAACAATTCACCAGTACCCATTTATACTCCTGGGTGGAGAGAGGCATGGGGAGAGTAAAGTGTCTTGCCCAAGAACAAAACTCATTGACTCAGGCAGGTCTTGAACCCAGACCTCTGGACCCAGAGTCCAATACACTGACCATAGGCAACAATATGTCACCCACTGTTGTTAGGAAATGGCAATGTTCATCACTGGCAAAAAATAGTATGGTGCTCTCCTAAGATCACACTCCTCTCTTATTAAATATAGGCCTAGGTCACACTAGAGCTTTTTTGTTTGTTTAAGTAAAAAATCTGTCAACAAGTTGCATAAAATAAGTACAGCCCCCAATTTTAAAAACTTGCCAAATTTTTGCAGATCACCAAAATTCTCCTAATCTTCAAAAGAGCCATGTTGCTTTTTTTTTAACCATTTAGCTGTCATTGTATGTAAGACATGCATGTCTAGATAAAATTTAAGCTGGAAAAATACACTGTGGTCTGCTAGTGTAATTTGGGGCATGTGATGGCAGGAAACAATACATGGTCCCAATCTCAAAACCATTACTCTGCCAGACGCAGAGACCTCAACCAAGGACAGTTTCAAAAGCAAGCTCTATTTGAGCAAAGTCTTTGCCTTCTATGTCTAAAATCTGATACTAGCTGCATAGAAGCCTGCTGATAGTGACTACCAACAATGTAAAAAAATTGCTATGTTGTTTTGCTCTGAAAGAAATGCAAGATTCCATTAAAACCTGAAAGCTGTGAAGATAATCATTTGAAAATGATATATTCTTGCCCAGTAATTTGTGCAAGAATTTTTCTTTATCTTTTAATAGAAGGAGATGGGTTTGTGATTGATGTATGTGTCAATCAATGAAGTTTTGGTCACAGGATACCAGTTAGATGCGACTGCTGCCAAAAATTGGAAATTGCAAAAATTTTGCAAATTTTTCACAAGCCACATTCACATGCTCTTAATACAATTACTAATTTGATGGTATATCCCCTTTGAAAATAAACTCAAAACAATTACTTTTTTGGGCAAGCAATGTAGCATGGTGCAATAAGAAGAAAAGTGTTACAAAGGTTTCTTTGTTGGTCTGCATGTACTCCATTTCAAAGACTGTAGGTATATTCACTGACAGCAAAGATTCAATCACTTGCCGTTTTCATAGTGTAAATAAAGAAACATCAATGTTTTGTTTCTGGTTCCATGAAAGTTATCTCCTTGATAAATATTGTTTGTGACTACACAACTTTCATGCTGAAATGCTCAATGTTCAAAGTTTTCAAGTTGAAGTTAGCAGTAACAAACATCATCTGTTGTGAGGCAGCTTGATTAGCTTTCGTATATAGAGAGAATCCACATTAAACTTACGCGCAAGGGAAGATCAATAACATTTCTTTCACACGATGCATATTCAGTTTAACCTCGCAGGAATTGTATAACTGTAACTGCATTATTTGTGGATCGAATCCAAACTACGTTCTGAGTTATATAAATTTTCTATCGATGCTGGCATCCAAAGTCAGTTGTTCGTTGCCCGTCAAAGCCTGAAAATTTTCCGAAAATTTGTCCGATGATAAGCATGTTTTTCGTACGCGTCTTTAGTTCCAAGAGACCAACTCTAACATGTTTAAATCCAGCCTAGCGAATCCAACCAAATTAAGCAATATGGAAACAAATAACGGATTCAACCTCAAAAACTGGTGAATGTAGACATATCAACTATTACAATTCCCAATGGATTCGAAAATATGAACCTGTTTTCCAACAAACGGGAAGTGCTGACCGAAGCACTAAGCTACGTAGTTTAACAATTTGGCACTAAAGACACTATTTCCTCGCTAGTAGTTTCAGGAATCGAGGTGAAAAGTATATGGTAAATCAATGACTCTACCTTGGCGAGAATCGTCTGCTTAACAACGTAAAGTAAGTCTCTCGAAGTAGAAATCAACCATGTTGGGCAGCCAAATCCGTGCACCTTGCATAGTGCTTCTCAAACTTCACTGATCATCTGCCTCTATTTCAGCCATTTTGAAAGTGTTAGTTTCCGGGGCTTCTTGTTTAATCTGACTTCCGGTCATTTCTATTTCCGCTTCCTCATCTTTTAGTTTTATTGAACATCTTTTAGTTATATAAGGTCACGCATGAATGAGTCAGGAAAGCGATGTATGCTGCACAACATCGATGTATGACATCCAAAATCGATGTATTCCGGATGAAATTGATTTATTTAATTTTACATTAATGTATCCATGTTCGATATTTTGTCCGTAAAAGAACCTCATACCTAAGCGGGTCACCCCACCTATCTTGTAAACGTGATCAAAATAAAGTAAGAAATTATATGGACAGGTGACTTACCCCACCTAGGCGGGTTACCTCACCAACCAACTGTATTTGCGTTGTGGAAATTGATTCAGGATACCTTTAGCTGGGGAATCTGAGATCTGCAGATATAATCTACTTCAAAAACATGGACTACATATACATAAGTGCATTTCTCTATATGTTGCATGAGAATAATTTCTCAGCGGGGTTAGAAAGTTGTCTACTACGGTAATCCATGAATCAGTGTCTGAGATGGAATATGTTGCATTATTTCTCAGATTTCTTCGACAATCTTTTCAAATAGAATTCCAACCTAGAGTTAATTTGAAAATGTATCTAAACAGCTGGGCTACACAAACATGCTATTTTCATTACAGTGACATTAGTAGAAATCTATAAAAGCAACCGAGCAAAACACCGAATGTATACACGAGGTTCAGGCACAAGCAAGTATTTTCTTGCGACAGCTACATGTTTCGAACATTTTATGTGTACGAAGATTTTATTTAGCTCACACTCACGTATTTACAACAACATTTATAGTTACCTGTAATTTGCTCTAAAATTATGCCAGTGGGATAGATTATAAATTAAAGAACAATATAAGCGACGGGCCAATTTCAGCCAAAAACACGTCGACAGAGTTGGTATCTTTATAAACAGCGATTTGTTTATTTAGCACTCGAGAAAAATAAACTCAAAAACTTTACCTAAAACGGTAGTTTGTTCCCTTAACAATAAAGGTAGGGTAATTTTTAAGTTAAAATTGATAGATTTAAATGAATCAAAACAGAAGTAGAGACCAAACACTTCGAGTTTTGTCCCAATAGCGTGTGATTTGCAATAGGAATACAGCAAAGAAAATAGCCGAACTCCGTGAAAATGCACGCTGTATATTTTGGTCTGGCGCGCTCGCTTTTCACGGGCCAAAAATAATGTTTTTACATGATAAACATGAAGAATTGCTCGTTGAAAAGAGCTCTTTTATTTTATGTACATTCGTATACCCCCGATGTTATGGTCGTCTGAAATATGGCAAAATTCAGCGTACAAACGGAATACAAAATATAATGTACTTTACGCGGGTGGTTACAAACGAAAGAAAGTTTAGTTGGAGAGGAAATATAGTTGGAGAGCTATTCCAAGGGATGAAAAAAATGAATCCAAGATAATTTTTCGTTGTCTAGTACGAGCGTTGTGAAAATGCACTGAAAGCCCGATATAAATTATGCAAATTAGGTACGTTTTGGCCGATTTCGAACTTTCGTATTTTTTGCCAAAATAAAAACTCGCTGGAACTTTTGAATATTATTTTTGAAAACAATTCATCAAAAGGGTCTTTTGGAGCAAATAAAAAAAAAATTGAATTTTTGCTTGTGTCGCCGGATTCTTGAAAATTACTGACTTCTCTTAAGTTCTAGGCTTCTTCATGTACTATAGTGTATACGTGCGCACAAACTGGTCTATTTCGCTGATTGAGATTGGTACACTGAAAGATGTCGGTCCTCAACAAATCACACAGAAATAAATCATGTTTAACTGTACACCAAACTGCTCATCGAGAGGGTCAAAATGCATTTACAACTGTCCTGTTCTATTTTAGAATCGATCAATTTTTTATGAGCATTATATGAGTTCGGAGATGTCGGTTTACGTTATATTCGATGAAACACCCTCGAGTAACTGCCGTATTTTAAAGCAAAAATTATTGATAAACGCCGCCCCCGAATAAATGCCAAATCATTACGCGACTCTTATTCGAATAATAGACTCAAAAAAGCAGACCGATGACTACTGAGGGCCTGTTTTCAAGGAGATGGGGAGCCCCAGATAGGTGAAGTAACCCGCCTAGCTGGGTAACCCGCCTGTCCATATAATCTATTATTTCATCTTGATCACGTTTACATGATAGGTGGGGCGACCCGTCTAGGCGGGTTGCCCAGTCTACTGGGTAGGGTAACCCTGTCAGCAAGGGGGCAACATTGCCATGTAAACGTCTCAAGGTCGGTTAACCCGCCCACGCGGGGCGCCGTTCATGTTACAAAAGGATCAAATAAGGAAAACAACAGCGAAACACGAGTGTGTTAAGACTTTGTACATTTCTTGGTCTTCCCATGCAGAGCTAAAACGTTAAAACATCAATTTTTACATCCACTTAGCAATAAAACCTCGACAGCGATTTAGTCACGTTTTTACTTTTAACTCAACACTACATTCACACGTTATGCCAAAGTGAAGACGTTGTACTGTCAGAAACGGTTAACGCATCGAGCTATTGGCCAAAATCTTAGAGGAAAATTAATTACGTTTTTTCTGCAACGTTTTTACGACACGTCCTAGTGACATCTTAAACTCCTTAATTGCAAGTGTGATAACAACCTCGAGAAACTTCATCCTGGCATCCCGGGGTTGTAAGATTGTATGTAAACGCTGGCTATTTTTAGCCCACGGTTAGGCGGGTCACCTCACCTACCTGGGGTCCCCCACATTCATGTAAACAGGCCCTAGGGCAATGAAATACAGGTTGGTGGTTGATTACTATTAGCCTGGAACTTCTTCGACTGCAAAACTGAAGATAGTATTGCTTACGTATTGCAGTCGGAAAAAAAATCGATCAAGTAATAGTGCCAGAAGGGTCCACCAAGTATATCCAGGCACCGGACGTTTCTTGGAACAAGCCGTTCAAGGCCACTTGCACTTAAAAGGAATGATTGGCTGGGTACCGTGGGAATTCACGAAGAAACAGCTGCTGAAATTTGAAATTATCCCCGAAAAGTACCATTTTGGAGTGAATTCTTGATTCTTGAGCAGAGCTACCCACAGAGGTAATAAAAAAAACTCTCTCGAGCTGCATGTTGAACCTTCCCGTGGACGACATGATTCACTGCCCCAAGGAACGACAGCCTTGTGGCAGTGCACGATTATTGCTTCTATCGCAGTTGCAAGTTCTGAGTAAGCAAGGCACAAATCCCTTTGAATGTACCGGTTCTGATTTTGAGAGAGCACATCCGTCATTATATCTTTTGGATTCGGATCATGAAGAGGACAGAGACATTGAAATTGGGTGAACTATGTTCACTTTATTTCACATTAAGTATTGCAGTAGTATTAACACGCAGATTGTGAAATTGAGGACAAGCACTAGAACGTGTTTTTGTTTTTTACAATTAAAATGGTCAGTTACCATACTATTGTTTGCAAAAAGGAAAATTGAATTTTAAATAAACGCCGCCCTCGAATAAACATCGCACTTGAATCACGAAAATTTTAATAAACGCCGCGGCGTTTAATCGAATAAACATGATAAACATGATTAGCTCTATATTTAAGAGAGCTCCTTTGTAAGAAATTTTTATAAGAGTTGTTTACAGTCTGTTGGACCAAGTTCTATCCAGCAATCTTTCGATGAAAGAATTTATAATTGGTGCCAATCCTGATCTTCCTGCAGCCAGCTAATTTCCCCAAGGTCTTGAAACAGGTAGGAAATCGACAATCATCCCTTCATATCTGGGGCTCTTCTGACTCGTCATTAAGTACTAGGCCTTTGCGGAAGTAGGCATCCGCCGGCACACATTACCATTTTAGAGTTATCCACAACAACTTTGTTTACCTCGTCCCTATTGTGTCCCCACCTCCCCCCTATTGTCAATTCCCCCCCCCCCACCCCACAAACCTCCCGTTCAGGAAGCTTTCAGTGATCAAATTTCATTGAATGGCTCTGCAGCTCGCAACAGAAATAAAAAAACAATGCCTATGAATGTTTTTTGTCTTGGTTTTTAATGAAAGAGAGACGCTCGAAACTTTGAAGTAATGAAAATCAAAGGGCTCTTGGAGCCAGCTCATTCATGTTATGGCTTAGGTTTGAATTGATTTCTTGGACTTGCTGAATATAGGTGCAGATGAATTCGGTTTATGTGAACTTTCAAGACTTTTGGAATAAATTTTCTTTTATTTTTGGGCAGTTGTGTGATAAGAAAACTTGTGCATTCGTAGTGATGAGGATCGGAAAAAAGTTTGTGTGGGCTGGAGGTGGGATGGGCAGAGGTCATTAGGCAGACTACGCCCTCAGTTGGCTGCAATATATCTCATAACGCTGACTGCCGCAATAATTATCTATTAAATATTCCTTGCCCGTTTCTTGATATCTTTTGTTTTAAACAAAGCGGCCATTGCATTTGATTTTTAACAAAGCGGCCACAATCGTTCCTAATAGAATTTCAAGTCTTCATCTAATCTGATTTTCACATATTAATATTTGCGTAGTCACCAAACCAACGAGAGATAAAACCACCAAAAAAGTTAACAAATGGCCAGTCACGAGGGCAACGCTTCGCTTTCCCCTATAAAAATTCTCCGGTTTCTCATGAAAACCAATGACAATATAAGACACTAAGGGGAAATCAGTATGTGTACACTTCTGAACGTTGAAAATATATCAAGTCGAAAGAAAAGTTCTGGTCTTGGTTCGCATTTTTGTCAGCAAAATGAACACATATCGGTTAAAAAGATGAATTTCTCGAATATTGCGCAGGTTAAATATTCAATAGTGGCATCCATTTACATCCACATCTACTTTTAGTAAGTTGGTAAATTCTGTAAAGACATCACGCCAACCAACTCGCGCGGAAAATGAGAATACTAAACGAGGCTTGAAAAAAATTAAGAACGATTGTGATCAAGAGACAGGCAAGG